CAGGGCTACACCTTCACACACCCAGGCTCGCTTACCTTCACACCAGAGCTACACACCTTCACACACCCAGGCTACACACCTTCACACACCCAGGGCTACCTTCACACACAGGCTAAACATTCCACGGGGCTACACCTACACACCCAGGGCTACACCTTCACACACCCAGGCTGCACTTTCACACCCAGGGCTACCACCTTCTTACAGGGCTACACCTTCACACACCCGGGTACACACCTTCACACACACCCAGGGCTACACCTTCACACACCCGGCTACACACACCTTCACACACCCAGGGCTACCTTCATACATCTATAAAAATTAAAAAGGAAATGTTTTGATACAGAGATACTTTACACACACTTACACAAGTTTTCTTTGTAACTTATGTTTATATGAGAGAGATGACGAAACATATGACAGAGATAGAGAGAGGATGTGGTAGTGATAACCGTACATGATAACAGCCACAGACTCTTGAATTTCTAACACTTTGCCTCTGACTGCTTAATGTTGCAGCACTTTCTCAGAATTTACAGAGATAACCGAGAATGAAGGGGAAAACTAAGGATAACTGAGAGACGGGAGAAGACGTGCGATAACTGAGAGAGGAGAAGACGTGCGATAACTGAGAAAGGAGAAGACGTGCGATAACTGAGAGACGGGAGAAGACGTACGATAACTGAGACGGGAAGACGTGCGATAACTGAGAGACGGGAGAGAACGTACGATAACTGAGGACGGAGAGAAGACGTACGATAACTGAGAGACGGGGAAGACGTACGATAACTGAGAAACGGAGAAGACGTACGATAACTGAGAGACGGGGAAGACGTACGATAACTGAGAGACGGGAGAAGACGTACGATAACTGAGACGGGAGAAGACGTACGATAACTGAGAACGGGAGAAGACGTACGATAACTGAGAGACGGAGAAGACGTACGATAACTGAGAAACGGGAGAGACGTACGATAACTGAGAGACGGGAGAAGACGTACGATAACTGAGAGACAGGAGAAGACGTACGATAACTGAGAGACGGGAGAAGACGTACGATAACTGAGAGACGGGAGAACGTACGATAACTGAGAGACGGGAGAAGACGTACGATAACTGAGAGACGGGGAGAGAACGTACGATAATCTGAGAGACGGAGAGGACGTACGATAACTGAGTGACGGGAAGAACGTACGATAACTGAGAGACGGGAAGACTGTACGATAACTAATGAGAGAAGGGAAGACGTACATGATAACTGAGAGACGGGAAGACGTCTGATAACTGAGAGAGGGGGAAGAACGTCATGATACTTGGAAACGGAGACGTACGTAATAACTGAGACGGGAAGACGTACGATAACTGAGAGACGGGAGAAGACGTACGATAACTGAGACAGGAGAAGACGTACGATAACTGAGAGACGGGAGAAGACGTACGATAACTGAGACAGGGGAAGAAGGCAGTAGAGAATAACTGAGGGGACAGGAAGACGATCGATAACTGAGAGACGGGAGAAGACGTACGATAGCGAGACGGGAAGAGCATACGAGAACTGAGAGACGGGAGAAGACGTACAATAACTGAGAGACGGAGAAGACGTACGATAACAGAGAGACGGAAGACGTACGATAACTGAGAGAGGAGAAGACGTGCGATAACTGAGAGACGGGAGAAGACGTACGATAACTGAGGAGACGGAAGAACGTCGATAACTGAGAGACGGGAGAAGACGTACGATACTGAGAGACGGGAGAAGACGTCCGATAACTGAGAGACGGGAGAAGACGTCGATAACTGAGAGACGGGAAGACGTGTCTGATAACTGAGAGAGAGGAGAGAGCGTACGATAACTGAGAGACGGGAGAAGACGTACGATAACTGAGAGACGGGAGAAGACGTTACGATAACTGAGAGACGGGAGAAGACGTACGATGACTGAGAGGGGAGAAGACGTACGATAACTGAGAGACGGGAGAAGACGTACGATAACTGAGAGCAGGAGAAGACGTGATAACTGAGAGACGGGAAAAGACGTACGATAACTGAGAGACGGGAGAAGACGTACGATAACTGAGAGCAGGAGAAGACGTACGATAACTGAGAGACGGGAGAAGTACGATAACTGAGAGACGGGAAAAAGACGTCGATAACTGAGAGGAGGGAGAGAAGACGACGATAACTGAGAGGCGGAGGAAGACGCGTGATAACTGAGAGACGGGAGAAGACGTACGATAACTGAGAGACGGGAAGACGTACGATAACTAGAGAGCGGGGAGAAGGCATACGATAACTGAGAGACGGGAGAAGACGTACGATAACTGAGAGACGGGAGAGGACGTACGATAACTGAGAGACGGGAGAAGACGTGCGATACTGAGGACGGAGAAGACGTGAATAACGAAGACGGGAGAAGGCATGACAATAACTGAGAGACGGGAGAAGACGTGCGATAACTGAGAGACGGGAGAAGACGTACGATAACGAGAGACGGGAAGAACGTACGATAACTGAGACAGGAGGAGCGTACGATACACTGAGAGACGGGAGAAGGCATTACGATAACTGAGAGACGGGGGAAGACGTACGATAACTGAGAGACGGGAGAAGACGTACGATAACTGAGAGAAGGAGAAGACGTGCGATAACTGAGAGACGGAGAAGACGTACGATAACTGAGAGCGGGGAAGGCGTGCGATAACTGAGACAGGAGAGGACGTGCGATAACTGAGAGACGAGGAGACGTACGATAACTGAGAGACGGAGAGGACGACGATACTGAGAGACGGGAGAAGGCGACGATAACTGAGAGACGGGACAAGACGATGCGATAATTGAGAGACGGGAGAAGACGTACGATAACTGAGAGAGACGGGAGAAGACGTGCGATAACTGAGAGACGGGAAGAACGTGACGATAACTGAGAGACGGGAGAAGACGTACGATAACTGAGACGGGAGAAGACGATGCGATAACTGAGAGACGGGAGAGGACGTACGATAACTGAGAGACGGGAGAAGACGTACGATAACTGAGGACGGGAGAGAACGTCGATAACTGAGAACGGGAGAGGACGTCGATAACTGAGAGCAGGGAGAAGACGTACGATAACTAGAGACGGGAGAAGACGTGCGATAACTGAGACGGGAAGACGTACGATAACTGAGACAGGAGAAGACGTACGATAACTGAGGGACGGGAGAGAACGTACGATAACTGAGAGACGGGAGAAGACGTATGATAACTGAGAGACGGGAGAAGACGTACGATAACAGAGGCGAGGAAGACGATGCGATAACTGAGAGAGACGGGAGAAGACGTACGATAACTGAGAGACGGGAGAAAGACGTCACGATAACTGAGAGGCGAGGAGAAGACGTCTGATAACTGAGAGACGGGAGAGAAGCGTCGCGATAACTGAACGAAAACTTATGACCGTATGAGGATAACTTCGATAAGAGGAAAATGTACGACAACCGAGGAAAAATATAGATAACTGAGGAAAATATCCGATAACTGAGGGAAAATATACGACAACTGAGGAAATATCGACAACTGAGGGAAAAATATCGACAACTGAGGAAAATATGACAACTGAGGGAAAAATATCGATAACTGAGGGAAAATATAGACAACTGAGGAAAAATATACGATAACTGAGGAAAATATCCGATAACTGAGGGAAAATATACGACAACTGAGGAAAATATACGACAACTGAGGGAAAAATTATACGACAACTGGGGAAAATATACGACAACTGAGGGAAAAATATACGATAACTGAGGAAAATATCCGATAACTGAGGAAAATATACGACAACTGAGGAAAATATACGACAACTGAGGGAAAAATATAAGATAACCGAGGAAAATATCCGATAACTGAGGAAAATATACGACAACTGAGGAAAAATATACGATAACTGAGGAAAATATCCGATAACTGAGGAAAATATACGACAACTGAGGAAAATATAAGATAACCGAGGAAAATATCCGATAACTGAGGAAAATATCGACAACTGAGGGAAAAATATACGATAACTGAGGGAATATATACGATAACTGAGGAAAATATACGACAACTGAGGGAAAAATATAAGATAACCGAGGAAAATATCCGATAACTGAGGAAAATATACGATAACTGAGGAAAAATATACGACAACGAGGGAAAATATACGATAACTGAGGAAAATATACGACAACTAGGGAAAAATATAAGATAACCGAGGAAAATATCCGATAACTGAGGAAAATATACGACAACTGAGGGAAAAATATACGATAACTGAGGGAATATATACGATAACTGAGGGAAAATATACGACAACAGGGAAAATATAAGATAACCGAGGGAAAATATCCGATAACTGAGGGAAAATATACGATAACTGGGGAAAATATACGACAACCGAGGGAAAAATATACGATAACTGAGAAACACCAGGGAAGAAAACTAATGTCAATTGTGTAACATAACCTACCTGGTCTTAACTTACCTAGCCAAGTTTTTTTAAAAGTTAGGTTAGGTTACAGGTGGGCTAGGTTGGGTTGGGTTGGGTTAAGGTTAGGTTAAAGGTGGGCGAGGTTGGGTTGGGTTACGTTAGGTTAAGGTGGGCTAGGTTGGGTTAGGTTAAGTTGGGTTAGGTTAAGTTAGATTAGGTTAAAGGTGGGCTAGGTTGGGTTGGGTTAGGTTAGGTTAAAGGTGGGCTAGGTTGGGTTGGGTTAGGTTAGGTTAAAGGTGGGCTAGGTTGGGTTGGGTTAGGTTAGGTTAAAGGTGGGCTAGGTTGGGTTAGGTTAAGTTAGGTTAAGGTGGGCTAGGTTGGGTTAGGTTAAGTTGGGTTAGGTTAAGTTAGGTTAAAGGTGGGCTAGGTTGGGTTAGGTTAAGTTGGGTTAGGTTAGGTTAGGTTAAAGGTGGGCTAGGTTGGGTTAAGGTTAGGTTAAAGGTGGGCTAGGTTGGGTTAGGTTAAAGGTGGGTTAGGTTGGGTTGTTGAGATAGGTTAGGTTAAGTTAGGTTAAAGGTGGGCTAGGTTGGGTTGGGTTGGGTTAAAGGTGGGCTAGGTTGGGTTAGGTTAAAGGTGGGTTGGGTTGGGTTAAGTTAGGTTGGTTTGTGTGCTAAGTTAGGCTTGGTTAAGTTTAGGTTATGTTAGGGTGGTTAATCTTAGGTGTAAGACAGTTTAGGTTAGGTTAAGTTGGGCTAGGTGGGTTAAGTTGGGTTAGGTTAGGTTAGGTGGTTAATCTTAGTGAAGCAAACCGGGGGTTAAGCAGGCTGGTTGGGCCAGGCTAGGCTAAGCTGGGTTGGCTGGGCTGGGCTAGGTTGAAGAGGGGTGGCTAATCTCTTCTCAGGTGAAACAAGCTGGAAGTTGGTTAGGTTGGTTGGGCCAGGTTAGGTTACTGGTTGGGTTAGGTTAAGTTGGGCTAGGTTAGGGTGGTTAATCTTTAGGTGAAACAAGCTGGGGTTAAGTTAGGTTAAGTTGGGTTATGTTAGGGTGGTCAATCTTCAGGTGAAACAAGCTGGGAGGTGAATTTTCAGACGAAGACAAAGTAGAAGTGTTTACATAAAAGATTGTGAGCGTGGAGCCTCGGGAAGGATGAACAAGACCAAGAGGAAGAAGAACAAGACCAAGAGGAAGAAGAACAAGACCAAGAGGAAGAACAAGAGGAAGAAGAACAAGACCAAGAGGAAGAAGAAGAACAAGACCAAGAGGAAGAAGAACAAGACCAAGAGGAAGAAGAACAAAACCAAGAGGAAGAACAAGACCAAGAGGAAGAAGAAGAACAAGACCAAGAGGAAGAACAAGACCAAGAGGAAGACGAACAAGACCAAGAGGAAGAACAAGACCACCTAATATCCTCTCACCTCAGCTGCCACACTATAATTTACTTATCAAACCTGTGGTCCATCACCGAGGTTATCCATCACCAGTGTCAACAGGTGTGGAAAACTACGTGCCAGCCTCCACACTTGTTCAACACAACTACGTACAAACACCACACCTACTGTACGTACAAACACCACACCTACTGTACGTACAAACACCACACCTACTGTACGTACAAACACCACACCTACTGTACGTACAAACACCACACCTACTGTACGTACAAACACCACACCTACTGTACGTACACACACCTACACACTGTATATATGATTGAGCTGAAGGAAGGTGGGAGGTGAGAAACGGCCTCAGTGATGTATGTATGTATGTATGTATGTATGTATGTATGTATGTGTGTGTGTGTGTGTGTGTGTGTGTGTGTCGCAATTCTGTCACAACAACACAAGACAGACAAAGACACACATTTAACACCCCGCCCGGGTTCTTGCACGCACACGCACACACACACTTGTACTCTCCTCACGCACTTCCCTCACTCCAACACAATTATACAAACGACAACACGAGACAGCTTAAACATCAAGGCGCCTCCACTCACATATTCACTTCCAAGATAAACTAACTTATTTGATCCCAGGAACCTAACCTAACCTAACCAAATCTAACCTAACATAACTCTACTATAAAGGTTGTAAATAAAGCTCCACAGGTGTTTATATCAACTAAAACACCTGGAATATAATAACAAGATGATGCAAGAATGTACACAATGAAGCTTACAAAATCCTGATCCTTAACCCTGGTCGATGGATAGTTGGTTTTTACCCCTTTTAATTTATTTTTTATTATTTTTTTTTTACTTTTTTACTTTATTATTTTTTGTGTCTAATCCTACAGGCGAAATATTACTGAGGCGGAATTAAAGACAGGTAAAACAAGTTAAGGTCCTCCATAACACGAAGAATGAAGGCGTGAGAGACAGACAGACAGACAGGTAGAAAATGAGACATTACAGCAGGGAATAAAACAATTAAGATAACTAAAGACAATAAAGAAGATATAAAACAGAGTAAAAGAAAATAAATAAAAAAAACGCTAAAACACATCAGAAAGAGAGAGGAAAACAAAGCAATATTTAATGTCAGAACAGGAGGATGTGTAGTCCTTGTTTCCTGACACACACACACACACGTCATCCTACTTCTCTCGACACACACATGCACATATATTGTACGTACATAGATACATATACACAGACATACATAGACAAACACACACACACATGCGCGCGTTTCTATTCACAAGTGTTCAAATTATTGGGTGAAAATATAAATGGCACACACACCTGTATAACTGTACAGTACACAGGTGTGAACTGTGAATGGGGGACAGGCGAACCGTGGAGCCATTACCTGAGCAACGGAGACGAAGAGAAATCGAACTGAGAAAGATTTAAGGTTAACGGTAAGTAGGAACCTAACTTAAAACCTAGACACCAATGCATTAATGTACAGTCCCCTTCACTAGTGCGTTTACAGGATCTCGTCAGGTTGTGTACAGTATGGCAGCGCTGTTTGGTCCCCTTCACTAGTGCGTTTACAGGATCTCGTCAGGTTGTGTACAGTATGGCAGCGCTGTTTGGTCCCCTTCACTAGTGCGTTTACAGGGTCTCGTCAGGTTGTGTACAGTATGGCAGTGCTGTTTGGCCCCCTTCACTAGTGCGTTTACAGGGTCTCGTTAGGTTGTGTACAGTATGGCAGTGCTGTTTGGTCCCCTTCACTAGTGCGTTTACAGGGTCTCGTCAGGTTGTGTACAGTATGGCAGTTGCTTGGCCCCCCTTCACTAGTGCGTTTACAGGGTCTCGTCAGGTTATATGTACAGTATGGCAGCGCTTGTTTGGTCCCCTTCACTAGTGCGCGTTTACAGTGGTCTCTGTCAGGTTGTGCACAGTATGCAGGCAGCCGCCTGTTTGGTCCCCTTCACTAGTGCTGCTGACAGGGTCTCACATGTGTACAGTAGAGTTGCTTGGTCCCCCTTCACTAGTGCGTTTACAGGGTCTCGTCAGGTTGTGTACAGCATGGCAGTGCTGTTTGTTCCCCTTCACTAGTGCGTTTACAGGGTCTCGTCAGGTTGTGTACAGTATGGCAGTGCTGTTTGGTCCCCTTCACTAGTGCGTTTACAGGGTCTCGTCAGGTTGTGTACAGCATGGCAGTGCTGTTTGTTCCCCTTCACTAGTGCGTTTACAGGGTCTCGTCAGGTTGTGTACAGTATGGCAGTGCTGTTTGGTCCCCTTCACTAGTGCGTTTACAGGGTCTCGTCAGGTTGTGTACAGTATGGCAGCGCTGTGTTTGTTTACAATCGACAGAAGAAAGCACACAATAGTAAACATAGTAAGGAATCAGAGTAAAACTTAAAATAAATATCTATGTAATGATTCGTGGAATGTTCATGTGACGAGCCCCTGTAAACGCACCAGTGAAGGGGACTGTACGTAATAAGTTTAACAGTACTCGGGATCATGTCTAGGAGCAATAGTAACGGATCATGTCTAGGAGCGTTAGTAACGGATCATGTCTAGGAGCGTTAGTAACGGATCATGTCTAGGAGCATTAGTAACGGATCATGTCTAGGAGCATTAGTAACGGATCATGTCTAGGAGCATTAGTAACGGATCATGTCTAGGAGCATTAGTAACGGATCATGTCTAGGAGCATTAGTAACGGATCATGTCTAGGAGCATGTCTAGGAGCATTAGTAACGGATCATGTCTAGGCGCACAGTAACGGATCATGCTCCAGTAAGTAACGGATCATGTCTAGAGCATTCATGTACTAGAGCAATAGTAACGGATCATGCTCTAGGAGCGTTAGTAACGGATCATGTCTAGAGCGTTAGTAACGGATCATGTCTAGGAGCGTTAGTAACGGATAACGGATCATGTCTAGGAGCATTAGTAACGGATCATGTCTAGGAGCATTAGTAACGGATCATGTCTAGGAGCATTAGTAACGGATCATGTCTAGGAGCATTAGTAACGGATCATGTCTAGGAGCATTAGTAACGGATCATGTCTAGGAGCATTAGTAACGATCATGTCTATGAGCATAGTCTTGCAGAGCATTAGTAACGGATCATGTCTAGGAGCATTAGTAACGGATCATGTCATCAGCATTTAACGGATCATGTCTAGAGCATTAGTAACGGACTCATGTCTAGGAGCATTAGTAACGGATCATGTCTAGAGCATTAGTAACGGATCATGTCTAGGAGCATTAGTAACGGATCATGTCTAGGAGCATTAGTAACGGATCATGTCTAGGAGCATTAGTAACGGATCATGTCTAGGGAGCATTAGTAACGGATCATGTCTAGGAGCATTAGTAACGGATCATGTCTAGGCATTAGTAACGGATCATGTCTAGGAGCATTAGTAACGGATCATGTCTAGGAGCATTAGTAACGGATCATGTCTAGGAGCATTAGTAACGGATCATGTCTAGGAGCATTAGTAACGGATCATGTCTCGGAGCATTAGTAACGGATCATGTCTAGGAGCATTAGTAACGGATCATGTCTAGGAGCATTAGTAACGGATCATGTCTAGGAGCATTAGTAACAGAAGCGAGGTTTGTGAGACCTTGGATTATGTGGTTAAGTTCTGGTCACCGAACTATAGAACGGATAGCATTCAGAGGAGGATGACAAGACTAAACCCAGGCATTAGGAACCTTAAGAAAACTATCTGCCTCCCCTTAACTCAAATGGACGCCAGGGTTAAAGGTGATATAACTACGGTAATTAAACTCTCAAACCACGAGCGAATACCCGGTACTTAGCAATGGTATTTAAACAAATTTCGACTTAAACGTGAGATAGGTAAACATTTGGTGTGGAAATAGAGTAGTAGATGGATGGAACAAGTTACCAAACATCATCATTAACTCGCTGGGAAGCTTCTAATACGGGTTGGACGGATATAAGAGTGATAAGGGTTGGGTGTAAACAGAGCCGCTTTGTATGGAGAGGGCAAGCGAGCGGAACAGCCTCTAACAAGCTCTTAAGTCACTTCTTTGCGGTAATAATCATAGGAGCATCACCAACAACACACGGTAATAATTATACGAGCATCACCAACACATAAAAAACATTCAATAGTGGTGATTAGTTCGGTAAAGTTTGGTTGAAATTAAGTCCAACGGTTCACAGGTTTTGGCGCGACCAGGAAAAGTTAACAGTGGACAGCGAGTGTAAAATAATGATGACCACTTTCAACTGGCAATAAAACCAAGTCGACGCTTTAATTACCACTATTAATTTAAATTTCTGAATTATTTTTTTGAGTTGTGTCCAAAAGCCGTAAAAAAAATCACAATAATTATTTTGAGATAAAAAAAAAGTCTAGTTTCCCGCCAATTTCTTCCCGTAAATATATTAGCATTTTATATTAATTTCTAGATATAAACATTAAATTGTACATACATTCCGCTTTATTTTTTCTCAGGATAGATGTAATATATATATTTTCATCTTTCTCTCCTTTTGCTATATATAAAGAAGTGAAATTCAATAACCCAGGAAAAAAATAATAAAAGATTCTAGATTGCTTTCCAAAATACTAATATTAAAAAAAAATAAACTTCCTCAGTTAGAATAAAAGTAAAAAATGGAATAACGACTAGGCTACGATTTCCTGCCTCCTACTTAAAAACTTAACCTAACCTGTATTAACCTAACCAAACCCAACTTAGGAATGCGGCGAAATAACCCATCTTGGAATTACGCCCTAAACGAGTCCTAGTTTGCAGCGAGAGTCCACATCGGAAGTGTTGTCACGTTTTACAATGATAAACTACCACGAAGTAGCCGAAGCGAGTAAGCCAATTCTTATTGTATCATCCATCATCCACCCACCAGCCACAC